CTTCTGAAATAGGCTACATAAACCTTGCCTTTTATAACCAAGAAAGCAAAAATAAAGTTGTCTGAGGGTATATATAAATCCTGCTAATCTATTTTCCCATCTGATCACTATTTGTAATGATGAATTTTCTAACTTGAAGATTTAACAATTTGCTTGTGTTGCAAGAACTCCTTTCTGCCAATTTGTAATTCTCCTTCTCTATCATCTATCTTATAAACCATCTTGCCAAACTGCATTTCTCCTTTCTCTGTTAGCTGTTTCATAAACCATCTCTTTGGTGTGGGTTCCCTATTTTGTGTAGTATGCTCAATAGGAATATGGTATGTAGACTTGCATGACTGTCCAGGGCTAAACTTCAGAATCCTCATAAAACCTTGGGCAATTTCTGTGCTGTTGATCTCCCTCTCTAATTTATTATCATAATGGCATTTTTGTGCCTTTTTTCTCATTTGTTCTCACAATAGGAAGCACAGTGGAGAGAGATGATTTCTTCAGGGGGCCTGGACTTGGGACAAGTTCAGGCAAAGATGCAAGCTTTGCAAAAAATATTTGACTTCTAGAAAATGGTGGGGTAGAAAACTTTTAAGTGCAAAATGTACCATTTTGGTAGTCTAAGGAAATGCAACCTTTCCCAAAGCTCTCTCCGGTGTGCAACACAGTATACAGAGATTGAAAATGTTTCTGATGTGAAATTGAGGATTTAAATGGACATAGGGGGCCCAGGCTATTACTGCCAACACAGCAAGGGGCCAGCAGATATAATACGGAATCTGTCTGATAGTTTCAACTAATTTATGACAACCAACTTATCTGCAAAGCTTACAAAATGAGGAGAATGCTGGCCAGTGGCAACTTAACGTAGTTGGCTATTCTAAGGCCTGTTGCTTATATCTAGTCTCCAAGCTGTCTTGTCCAAGAATGAAGAGTAGATTCCTGGATACTTAAGGTAATAACCAAAGACTGTGCAGGACATTATAGTGCATTCATGCATTGATATACATGCCATCAAAACCCAAAGCACAAGCTCATCTTGTGCATGGAAGCAGCCACCTCAACATCGTTATCTTTTAATTTCAAATGGTTACCTGGCTCAAAATCTGGGTGTGAAATTTCATCTGCTTTGAGTAGTGCTCAATTTTTAATACTTCCTACAATAATTAGGACTTATTCCTGTTTAGACCAAGTTGTACTAGTTAACCCCTTTGTGGTTGGGAGATTTAAGTTCAATTTTAAATCTTGGAAAATTCCTTAATTCTTTGCTTTACAGGAAAGTAGAAGCTCATGTTTTAGTTTGATCACAGGTAGCAAGTAGCAAAGTCAAAGGTGGGATTATGTTTAAAAAATAAAATGGTGGGGAGACGCCTGGGTCGCTAAGCGTCTGTCTTTAGCTCAGGTCTTGATCCCAGGGTCCTGGGATCGAGTCCCACATCGGGCTCCCTGCTCAGCGGGGAGCCTGCTTCTCCTGTTGCCTGCTGCTTCCCCTGCTTGTGCGCTCTCTCTCTGACAAATAAATAAAATATTAAAAAAAAAGGTGGGATTATGTTTATTCATTCAACAACATATATGTATTTATGATGACCATTTTCTGGATTACCCATTTATTCAATAGGTCTTTATTAGATATTTACTACAGACCAATGATTTTGGGCCAGAGATGAATTATGCCAGTTTGGAAACTAGACAGATTATCCTTTAAATGGGTACATTTGTACCTCAAGATAAATCTTGGCATGTATATAATGTGGAATATTGTATGTCTATTTTCCATGGAAACAATGAAGTCCAGAGATGACTTCTGGATATGGGACTCATACTCACTTTGCTCTTCCTCTTTCCCTTTTTTTTTTTTTTAAAGCTCTTATTTATATGAGAAAGAGAGTGAGCGAGAGAGAGCTCACAAGCAGGGGGAGTGGTAGAGGCAGAGGGAGAAGCAGACTCCCCGCTGAGCAGAGAGCCTGATGCGGGGCTCCACCCCAGGACCCTGGGATCATGACCTGAGCTGAAGGCAGATGCTTAACCTACTGAGCCACCCAATCGTCCCCCTTTCCCTTTCTTATCCTCATCTGTGCTCCCACCTACCCTCACTTCCAATCCAGAAGATTGGTAGTACACACCAAAGTTCCCAAATATCACCACAGGCTCAGAACTTGTTGAATGAGGAAACTGAATCAGATATAAACTTTAACAATTAAAAAAAAACACACTTGAAATTCTCTAGTTTCTTCTGCTCAGTTTCCACAAGGAAATGCTAGCAAGTATAGAAACTGTGCAATTTTGTGGGCTGATAAAATATTTGTAAAGTACTTGGGTATCTCTGTGCTTAGTAAAGCCAACCAAATACAGGTAGGTCATTTTTGAGCTCATTTGATTTTTATTCTTGCTGCTAATTTTTACTCTTCCAGTACAGCTAAGATAGAGAACCAAGCAGAAGTACAGCAATTCTGGCAGGTGGTTGTTAGACACTGATTTGACACGACGCTTCTTTTAGTAAGCCTGTATTTCCCCCAACTTGACCCCTAGCATGTCCTTTCTCTCACAGGAAGAAAAATACTTCTGTTGTTCTGTTTGAGTAGGTTAGCTTATAACAATAAAGCATTGTGTCTTTATGTGCTTTTAAAATATCTACCTTAAAAAATGACAACTTCTTTTCTAGCAGCTAGGTAAAATTCCTTAACTATTAATCTTTGGTACTTAAAACAGCGTTAAAATAGCCTTTAAAATAAAACATTAATAGGGGCGCCTGGGTAGCTCAGTAGGTTGTGTCCACCTTGGGCTCAGGTCATGAGCTCAAAGTCCTGGGACTGAGTCCCACATCAGGCTCCCTGCTCAGCTTGGAGTCTGCTTCTCCCTCTCCCTTTGCCCCTCCCCCTGCTTGTGCTCTGTCTCTCTCTCAAATAAATAAATAAAATCTAAAAACGTGAAATAAAACATTAAGGAAAGATATTAAAACAACATTTTCCAGGTTAATTTTTAAATCCTAAAGGGCCACATATTTCTTCATCATCCAGGTTTATAAAAATGCCATCTATCAAATTTGTTATTAAAAACAAGATGCCTCACATCCTTTGTGTAATAAGGCACAGTATAAAAATTTGAACACCATGACTATCCTTCCTCAATCTTCCCTATTTGTAGTATTTCCCCCAAGCAGAGGTACCTGACAAATTCCCCTTTATTGCTCATATGTGGAACACTTTTTGCATCAGATATATTTAATTAATTTTGTAGGTTAAATATTCAGAACCAAATGAGTAGATTTTTAGAGCATTGATTCATAAAGAAGAAAACAGAGGGAACTTGGACATAATACATTTCATTGCCATTAATCTAATTAATCTCATTCTAGCTAGCTAATAGTCTGTTTTGCTTGTTTTTCTGTATAATCTTATACTTTTACAGTGCCTATAATTTACGACCTGTCTTCACTTTATCAGATCCTCACAACAATCTTTTGAGGGAAAGGATAGTATTTATGCATACATCTGTATCTAAAATATCATAATATGTATGTATGTATATGTATAGGTGAATGTATATACACACATAGATGTATATGTAATGCAGTGTACATATATTTTAGTCCCCTTCCCCCAAGATGAGGAGGTGGAGATTGCTAATACAAAAGTCTCATGGCAGGTTAGCTGGTTGGAGAAGAGAATGCTGAAAGAAGGAAGAGGATTTCTTTTTTCTTTTTCTTTCTTTTTAGGAAGAGGATTTCTGAAGTTTATGGCTCAAGCATTCCCCACTGCTCTGGCTTGAACAGTGTTAATAAATGCTATCATTCATTTATATAGGAAGTCAAAACTGGTGCTACTGATGTTGGCTAGCTTGGTAGAAGAGGTGTTCAGACACAGAATAGAGGATCACTCTGTGGAGATGTGTTGATAAGGCTGAAGGATCAGCTGAGGGGTTGAACCAGCTATCCTTAAAGGCTTTTTGCTGCTCCCAAGCCCAGGAGTTTGTGAGATGACTGATGGTGGATTAAGAATGCACGCAGTGTGTAACAATTCTTCTGGACAAAGCTGGTTTTATCGAGTTTCTTTTTTGCCTTAGTAATAGGAATAGGAATAGGAAGAGGAATTGCTTTCACAATTTAGTCAACCAAAAAGTAAAATTCCACTGTAAGCTACTTTAGGTTTAAGCCATGGGGTGATATATCCTTGGGGGAGTTAGTTATGAATTCTGTGTTAATGCTGGGGTATTGCATTGCACAACAGATAATTCTGAAGTTACCTCAGAAAAAATGTCTGAGCTTGGGGGGTATGGGGTTGGTTGGGTGATGGTCATTGGGGAGGGTATGTGTTGTGGTGAGTGCTCTGTGTTGAGTACGACTGATGAATCACAGACCTATACCCCTGAAACAAATAACACATTATATGTTAATAATAATAAGAAAAGAAAAATGTCTGAGCTAATTAAAGCAATCCGTTATCAAATTTTGTATAGGGAAATTACCCTCTATTTTGTAAGATATGTTAATATCGAATAATGTCTACATTTACATTTTCCACTTTACGTGTTTATGTTTATAACACAATGCTGTGGTGTCAAGGTCCAGTAAGTATAGTAACTAATAATCATTACAAATTGATTACAACACTGAGCAAGAGATAACACATTCCTTGTTTTACAAATGAGGTTTATAACACCGCTGGCTGGGCAAAAATTCCTAAGCATGTAAGCCAAAGGTGTGTTATAGATAGTAACTCTAAGACTAGAAACTAGTTCATCCTAATTTTTATGGTTTGTTTTGGAATTTAATAGTGACCTCGTTGAATAAAATCGCAACGTATCTTAATTGAAAAGTAAATCTAGAAAGCTGTCCAGAACTTTTGATCCTAGACTAGTTCCACAGGGTTAACTAGGGAAGACAGGTAACCCGGTCCATTTGTTTATTTTGACGTTGAACATGTGGTCAGAGAATATATCGGGAAGTGTTACAGGACCTGAGATAAGGGGCAAGTTTTTAAATGAGAATAAGTGGTGATGGAGAAAAATACCTCTAGCACACAAGGGAGGAACTCCTGCGGTCTTTACAGTTCTTTGTGGCGACTGCGGTCGAACTCAGAAGGTGTAGCCCTGCCCTCTAGTGGATTTGGGTGCGAGAAGACTTCGGTTTAGTCTCCGATTCCAGGCCGAAGTTTATTAACATCAACCGTCCATAAAAAAGTCACTTATTGGGGGGTCTGGGTGAGATGCTGAGCAACTGAAAGGTTCAAGTGGCAAAACAGATAGCCAGTAGCCGGAGGTAATTCCCGTTCTTCGGCTTCCACTCCTGGACGCTCAATTTCTAGTTGCTCCAACCTTTCGGGTTCCACACACTTGAAAAGGCTGAGTCCTCCCCCGAGCTCTGCGGCTGATCCCTGCCTTCTCATTACACACAGGCACTTTAGCAGATCCCTTAGCGGGAAAGAACCTTGGGAAGTCGCCCCGCGATGACCTGCTCCCGCAGTCAGAGCAAAGCAGCTGTAATAGGGGGTCTGCAAGTGAGGGTGGGAAGTTCCAGTGAAAACACCAGAGTCCCTCTGCGTTCGCCCCTTCCCTCGGAGGTCCTCGCGTCGCCTGCCGAGATTGTGACGGCTACCCCGACGGGAGGGGCTTCCCATGTCGCCTTTGTTGAGGCCGCTCAAATACCTCGGGGACAGGGAGCATGATCGTACCTGCCCGCTTGGCCCAACCCCGCGGCTGCCTCTTGAGAATGCGTGCCCGGGGCTGGGAAGCGGGTGGGTCTCCCATTCTCGCGCCCAGTGGGTGCGTAAAAACGGGCGGGCACCGTCCCGGGGGTCAGCGAGGAGCCTCCCCAGGGAGGGTAGGGCCGGGGCGGGGCTCTGGCCCGGCGCGCCCTCCTACGGGACTGCTCCACACCCAACCAGAGCCCTTTCGGGGCGGGCGGCCCGGGCTTCGCTTCATTTCCGCCGTCTGCGCCTGTGCGTGCGAGTGCGCGTGCGCGCGCTCCTCTCGCAGCGGAAGTAGTAGCGACAAAGCTCGGTCCGCGGCGGGCCCGGGAGTGCGGGGCGTGCTGGGGCGGGGGGCGGCGGGGAGGGGCCGAGCGCAGGAGGCGGAGGCGGGAGCAGACCAGCGCGGCCGCGCTGAGCCGGCCGGGCCGACCGTGACGGGTCCCCTCACCTCCTCTCCTTTCCCCTCCCCGACCGCCCTCCCGTTCGCTCCTTCCTGACGCCGGGAGCAGGCTCTTGCCTGGCGCCGCTGCTCGGCAAGCCACTCCTGTTCGCTCCAGGCGCGCGGGGCGCTCCCGCGAGCCTCGCGGGTGAGTCCCCCGCAGCCCAGAGGAAGGCGGTCTGGGGCTTTGGGAGGCACCGGTATTACCTATTGCCCCCCATTTCCAGAAACTTCCAGGTCCTGAGGGAGGGAGCGGCCGGGGATACCCCAGCTTGGGGGTGTCTCTAGGGCGCCGCCCCGCCGTCTTGAGCTGGGGGCGTTGCGGGGCTGAGGGGGTGGGCATACGATCTGGGGGTTCCCGACGTGGTGGCGGGGCGGGGGTCTCCCTCGCCCTCTCTGTCGTCAGCGCCGCTTCTCCTGGTTTCTCTTGCAGATGCTGCTGCTAGGGGTGGTGGGAGCAGCCGTGGGACGTGTGGCCGGGAGAGGGGGTGACAGCCTGGGATTCCGGGGGCTTCTCTTCCTTGTCCTCTTCTCCTCTCTATTCCCAGTGTGGCCGCGGCTGACACTAAAGACTTTGTAGCCATCAACCCAAGTGCAGTTTCGATGGAAAATGAAGGTAAAGGCCCCTGGCAGACGGGTTGCAACGCGGAGTTGAGGGTGTGGTGGTTTGCTTTTAAGTTGCCTTTCTTTTTCCACCTTTTTATTTTCCTGATTTTATTTTTTCCTTTGTGAAGTATACAAGGAATTGCTTTCTTCGGATACTAGCTTTTATTTTGGTAACAGAGCATTTCGGAAATTAAGGCACTGTGGGCTGACGGAGCTTTATTCCGCTTTCCTGAGAAAGCTGCTGTCTTTAGCTTAGGGAATGGAAGGGAAGTTTTCATTTCAGATAGCATCTGCGCTTGTTTAAATAGCTATTTGAAAGGAATCACTCGAGGGGAAGTGGAAATGGAGAGGGAAGGGGATGGACTGCATCTCTGTATATTTGCGTATAGAAACAATTTTTTATTAACTCAGATTTGTTTTTCAGTTCAGAAAAAATAACTTTGAATTTAACAGAATGTTATGAGGTGATTTCCTTTCTTAAAAGTTCCTCCCTATTTCAAAACATCAGTTAGGAGGTTGACAGTGGAACTTGTTTGTCCACTGTACACTTTGGACCACTAAATTATCATTCACATGTTACTTGATTCCTTTGGTCTCATTAAAATATTTAACGCTTTTCATTACACGGTCCTGGTTATTTTCCAAAAGCGTTGAACAACTCTGAATATTATTTTCTCTCCTGAAACGACCACATTTATTCTGTGGACTGACTTCTGACTTGTGTGATAATCCCCCCCCCCCCGCCAGGTGTGCAAGATGCTATGAAAGATACTTAGAAATTACAATTTGTCTTCTTGTCTTCTTGTATCTTTTGGTTTTTAAAATCTGTAACTGGTACAGAGGAGATGGAATGGGGTTTATCAGTTGCTTTCTCACTTGTTTTTCCGTTTTTGAGAATGTAAGTTCAATTGTCCTAAGTAGAACTGGTAATCTTAGGATAGATATTTCTTCTATGCATAATTTGTTTTGCTGCCCAAGACCCTGGGATATGTGGGAAATTCAAGAGGCACGATTATATTGCTCAGTTTTACTCTAGATGGATAATCGGTGGAAGACATTTTCTGAGATACTAAAGTATATAACTGCAGAGGAGTTAAACCATCTAATTGGGTCTTTAGAAACAGCATTTGAAAGCAGTGATGTTTTTGTCTGGTGTTAAGGAAAAATCACTTTTCTGAGGCTTTCTCTTCTTTGTCTTGGTTTACAGATTTCAGAAAGACAAATCCTTTCTTCACAGGAGACAAAGAATATTAAATGCATTCATATACCTGTGTCTTGGTAGTTGTATCTTAAATAACATCAATAACTCCTGCTTTCAGAGTGTTACCAGATTTAAGAGAGTAGCCCAAAGTAGGTGTATTCTTAGAGGTTGCTTTTGTTTTTTGATCTCTTAGGAAAAGGAGCATGACTAATAAAGCTGACTCTCATATTGTCTATTGGCGTGAGAGGGAGTGGTGGTGAGATGGGAGCATGGTGCATGCTTGTGTCAGACTGAGTTTGTATTATTTGGCCTCATAGTAAAAGATACAATTCTTTTTTTTTATTTTTTTTATTTGTTTGACAGAGACAGACACAGTGAGAGAGGGAACACAAGCAGGGGGAGTGGGAGAGGGAGAAGCAGGCTTTCCGTGGAGCGGGGAGCCCGATGTGGGGCTCGATCCCAGGACCCTGGGATCATGACCTGAGCCGAAGGCAGACGCTTAACGACTGAGCCACCCAGGCGCCCCAGTAATCAAGAGGCCTTTTTTGTCAGTTTCTCATTACCATAACAGTTTTTCTTTTCTCATATTTAAACATCTTTAAGAAGAATTTGCATATAACTAGAATTTTCAATGGACTGTTTTGAAATACATAAAATATTATTGCTTTTCTTTTTATAGTTAGTATTCTCCTTTGACATGGTGTATCAATATCTTGGGAGTGTGAAAAAAAAATGGATTCAAACCATGCCTTAACCACTAAAAGTTGAGTGACTTTAAGCAAATTACAATTCACTCTTGAACAATGTGGGGTTTAGGGACACCACCTCCCGCAGTTGAAAATGTACTATAACTTTTGACTCCCCCAGAACTTAACTACTAATAGCTTACTGTTGACTGGAAGCTATATGATAATCGATAATAAAGCCAATTAACACATATTTTGTATATGTATTATATACTGTATTCTTACAAGAAAGTAAGCTAGAAAAGGAAAATTGTAAGGAAAATACATTTATTGTACTGTAAAAAGTCTTGATGTAAGTGAATCTGCACAGTTCAAACCTGTGTTCAAGGGTTAACTGTACTTCACCTTTCTTAGCCTCTGTTTCCTCCTCTGTAAATTGGGATTGATGATAGTTTACATAGTTAAGAGGGTGAAATCAGAAACTTGGGAGAGAGGAAGGAATTTAAGAGCATGTGCCGTGGAGCCTGGCAACCTGATTTGAACGCCAGATCCCCACTTAGCATAATTTGGCTTTTTGTGCTTCAGTTTCTTCATCTATAAAATAAGGGTATTGATAGAACCTGCCATATGATGTTGTTTTTTAAAAGATTTTATTAATTTGAGAGAGAGAGAAAGAGAAAAGGAGCAGGGGTTGAGGGCAGAGGGAGAAGGAGAAGCAGACTCCCTGCTGAGCAGGGAGCCAGATCCCGAGACCCTGCAATCATGACCTGAGCAGAAGGCAGATGCTTAACCAACTGAGCCACCCAAGGCCCCCCACCCCCACCCTCCCGCCATGAGATTGTTAGAAGCATTTAGAACAGTATGTGGCACATAGTAAGTGCTCAGCAAGTGATTATTATAAATAGCCTAACTCAGTGTTTGCATACTGTTATGCCATCTGGCTTTAATGTTATGATAGCTGAATATTGAAAGGAGGAACAGTAGTGGCCAAAATGCTCTGTATGAAGTTGCTGTTATTAGTTAGGGAATGGGTGAATCAAGTACAGAATTTTCTATACTGTTATGGCTTTAATTCTAGAGAGAAAGTTGGGGCTTCAGCAAGAAACCAGAGGCCAGTGTTGGAGGAGACAGGTTTGGATTTGAATCTGACAGGTAACTTTTACCTCTCCTAAAAAAATCTGATGAGTTACTGTGTTTCTAAGTTTTCGCATCTGTAAATGGGATAATGCCCTCTTGGAGGTTTGATGTGGGGAATAAATGAAGCCTGGTATGTGAAGTGCCCAGAATGATGGTTGACACATGGTTAGCATGCATTAGTGATTGAGTGATTACTGCTGTTCCCCAGAAAGAGACTCCTAGTAGGTATATAGATAAATTACATCTCTAGGTATGTACAGGGTAGAATTATAGTGGCTCCCAGGGGCATTAGCATGAAGGTTCTTAGGTAGTGTGCCGTGTCTACAATGGTTGTTGGAGGGGATAACTTCATCCTTGTGGTTCATTTTAGCAATGGTGGTAATTTTCTTTGGCACTTAAGTTTCAATTTTTCTGGACCTTTCTCCCATGTCTCACTTAAACTGTTATCAGCTGAGCTACCCGGTTTTTAGCCTTAGCCTCCAGAATGCTTTGTGAATATTTCCTGCCAGTCACTGGAAGTATTTGAAGTGTTAATTTCCTGGAGTTTCAGGGATTGGTCCTAGACATCCCTTTGTGGAACTCCTTTTGCATGTTTGGAACTCCTTTTTGCATGTTTATTTTGAATTTAGATACCACTTAGGAATCTGAGATGTACAAGTAAATGGCTCTTTTCCTGATTTTTAAAAAATTATTTGTGCTTAAAGGGATGGCTTATTTAGAAAGGTATTTCTAGCTGGAGAATTTTACAGATAGTTTCTTCTTGCCAGTAATGTTCCCCCCCCACCCTTTGGAAAAAATTTGCCCTTTCTCATAGAAAAATATGAATTTAATGTACCTGAAACTGATACAGCTTTAAATATTTCTTTGACTAGTGCATAAAAATAATAATTTTCAAGATTTCAGGACATGTTTAATTTATAGTTATAGGCAGGGCTAATAGGTCTAGAAAAAATTTCCCTGATCTTTTTGGATAGCATTTGGAAATGATAATATTTTTTATTTACACTTTCCTTTAAAAATAGTTTCTTGGTCAAATGGTTAATCATCTAAGAATGTCTCAAGAAAAGATTGTGTGTTAGGATAAGGATAGTTGAAGGAACTATAAATAAAATGGAGAAACCACCTTAATTGCCTTCCTTTGTCTAGAAATAGGAAGCCAGATTATAAAAATATTATATCTTTAGGTATGGAAAACATATTTTGTTTGCACTTTTGTCGATAAAGTGATATTCTTAATATTTCTAGAAAAGAGTTGAAACTGAAAGAGATGTATGTAACAGCATCTTATAAAATGTTTAACCCAGAGGAAGGATGCTGTAGAGATTATTTGTAAGCAATAGCTTCCTACAGTTGAATCCTAAATACTTGATTTGTCTTAATGTTTTTATCATTCATTTAGTGTCAGCAGAATTAAACTGTTAACTGAAGCAGTGTCAATCATAATAGTCTCCTAGGAACACACCCCTAGGGGATTCAGGGCTGATTTTCTTTTGAGATCTTGGTTAACCATAATATGTTTAGGTTATATTTTGTTTTAAAGCTGGAGAGAATACCATAGCTTGATGGTAAAGTTAGCTGGTGTGAATTTTAAATTGCATAGTTGTTAAATGTAATATCATAAACAACTCTTAAGGGTCAGTTCAAAAGGTCCTCCACTATTTACTTTGTTAAAAGATACATTCTTTTTATAGTGATTTCAGGCTTCATTTGTGACAAGATTATCTTTATGATTTTCATATGGACAAGTGTTGGTAAAAGGCAGTAAAGTAAAAACTGGGTGAGCTCTGTATTAATGCCATGATGTTGTACAGGAAAGTATTTCTCTGAAAAAGAAATGTCAGGCTAAATTGATGCATTTCCTTTTGAATTTTTATGGTTGGTATTTATATGTATTTGTTAATTATGTCTTCCATCTTCAGTGCTTTAAGTTACTATTGAGGAAAGCATAAATCTTGGAATTACAAGGAAATTACCCAAATTGTGTTG